CGGGCCGGGGGCTGTCCCCTCCCCTGCCCGGGGCGGGCGGCCGGCACCACCCCGGGTGTTCCCCGAGCCGGGCGAGGCCGCAGCGTGCTGCCCTGCCGGCCGCGGTGGCCGAGGGCCAGCCTGCAGCCTGGAAGAGGGCAGCGCATTCACGGCCGGGACAGGAGCGGGCAGGACGGGGGCTGTGCTGGAGCGGCGGCGCTTGGACAGGCAGACAGACCCGCGTTCCTGGGCTGCACCCGCGCGTTCAGCGCTAAAGGGCGGCTGCTGGAGGGCACGGTCACGGACAGTGGGCTGAGAGGCTCGTTCACTGCCTCTACTGAAAGGGGAATAGAAATAAAAATCAAGAAGTTAGTGCAGTTGGCCAGCCCGTGGACTTATTCATTACTTATTCCATACCTCATGTTCGGCATGTCGAAAGCTGTCTGTGCAACCCGAGTGCGGAGAGTTACATTTGCCACACAATTGGCACGATTGCGACCTTTCACGGAGCAGTACAGTTAGTGCTGCTTCACAAACCTGTGAAACGCCAGAGACTCCCAGCTTTGTCCTGTGAATGCCGAGGCAAACCAGAGGATGATTAAGGTGCTTCAGAAAGTGTTTGACCCAAGCTGCAGTTTACAGCTCTTCCCGTTTCACATTGTAGCAAGCGTTACCTTTAGTGGGGCCATGTCAGGCACGCAACAGAAAGGCACGTGAGTGTTGCTTTGGGAGGAAGGCGGCAGAGTTGACGCAGCTTTCCCCCTTCAGACCTCTGTCCCAGTGAGGTGTCTGCCTGCTCAGCTCCAGCTGCCCTGCCAAGTGACTCAGAGGTGAAACCCCCACGCTCTGCTCAGGCTCCCCACAAAGGGTGACACACCAGCAACCCCAGAGGCCTTAGCAGGACTGAGTGGGACTTGTTCTTCAGCAGAGGGATCCCTTCCTTCTGAAAGGGGAGCAAGGCTTTTTTTTTTTTTTTTAAGATTCTGAATAAGCATGCAGTTTGCAGAGGCCTCAACAAGCAGATTAGAGTGCTTACAGCAGCCCTACCAAAAAAACAAAACCAAAAGACCCTGCCGAGATTAAACCATATATTTAAGCCCCTCCAGCACACTTCATAACCAACTCGGTGTTTTCGTTGTGCATGGGAACTTGCACCCTCAGAAAAGCTTTTCTTCTCTCTGTCCTTCAAGTACTACAGATGGTAAACAAAGCCACCCATCTGACTGCTGGGAACAGAAGTGCGGTCAGGTCAGAGCAACACCATAAACTACCATCACACATTCACAGGATAAGCAGCGTCATGCTTGGAAGAAAATTCCACAATGCATTAAATCGGGATACCTCCCTGTGAAATGGCTCACAAATGCTTTTACATAGTGGCAGTGACTCCATCCATTGAAGTCTACACATATTTCAAAGGCTTTGAATTAAAAAATCATTGAACCTAGGATCAGAATTAACACATGTGTATTCCCCCCCAGAACTGGATTAATAAAAAGCCTAATAAGTTTAAGTTTGTAAAACTACAGCCAAGGCCCTTACACAAGAAACAAGCAAAAACCTTCTGCCCAAGGTTTTTAGCTTGTATCACACATTGCCATCATGCCAGTTTTGCAATAACAGCAGTAAAGTGTGGATTCCCCATGGCAGCATAAGCATGATAGGCCAAACAGACCTCGCTTTTAGGCACATGCCCTTTTTGACATTAGATATAAGATGTGGGCCTCCCAGGTCACCTTGGAGCCCAACATTACACCAAAGTATTTCAGAAAGACTCAATTCAACTTTAGGCTGGTTTCATTATTTTGCAGACAGGGGTCCTTGCAGATTACCAACATCTCACAAAGCTTGTGCTAAGGTACAGAAACACCACAAGAAAGGGCCAAGAAAGCTAACAGATAAATTTTTTTCCAGTAAGACTGATACTCAAGTTTTTAATTTCTGTAATTCAGTCAACTCTATTACGTGAGGAAAAAGTCTGAGGTTCCACTTTATGAGCTAGCTCATGAATCTAAATCTCTCTAACAACAGCACTGCACTTGCAGCTCAGTAAACATATCCACCTGCAGGCACTACAGCAGCAGTAAATACAGAAGTCAGGTTCTCAAGAAAATCCACATACAGAGACTAATCATTTTTACTATTCTTTCAGCCAGAACATACTCTTTTTGCTACAGATCAGAATTCACATTGAAATGCATCACAAGCTACTCTCATGTTCAATACCACACCAGAGGTTTTATTATCACCAGTTTCTGAAGAACTGGAACAAGCTCAGTTTTCCACCAAAACAGATACAAGATGATTTAAGCATACACATTGCAAGGAACAGAGCAAAATATCTAGATAATTGAACTCACAGACAAATCTCTATAACACAGTGTGCTTAGAGAGCTAGAGGAACTCCTCAAACCCAGATACCAGAGACCAGAATAGGGCAAAACCAAAACACAGATTACATCAAGCTATTGAGAACAAGATGAGCAACAAAATCACAGCCTTGGAAGAAGAAAACCTAGACTGTAATTCCAAGTGAGAGAAAACCACTTGCATACCACATAGCTAGCAGGAAGAAAAAAAACCAGCCCATATTGCTAAGAAAGAGGTGCAAAGAAGTAACTGTTCTTAGTTACACCCACCTCTCCTAGCCCCTCAAAAATTTGCCCCCAGTACCTGAGTCACTCCTCAGACTAGTGGATTATTAATTAGATTAAATTAACTCTGAGTGAGGCCAGATGGCCTCTTTCTCATTCTTTCAGACTGTGGTAACCATCTGAGCAACATCCCAAAGTGCCTTGGAGGTACTTGTCACACTTTTGACACTTAACACTGGTAAAAATGAAGGCAATTAGTAAGAATGTCTGATTTGGGGGGGCTATATCCACTCTCCAAAAGGTGTTCACAGTGAATGCTGTCACAACAGGGGGAAATGCAGTGGGATCAGTCTAATACACCCTGCAGGAGAAATAAGGAAAGCCAGTGCGATATGGAAAGCAGCCATGATCCCCTGCCTTTTGTCCCAGGAATTCTTGATTTGCTCCTTCAAAGTCATCTGCTTTTAGGATGCCACATTGATAATAACTGGAGAAACACCCCAATGTTTTTTTTAAACATTAAATATTCCCAGTATGCCTGATGAGGATTCATCAACCATTGCAGGTACCTGCATTAATATCACCCCCCTGGGATGCTGCCTGTGATACTTTCCTGGCTTTATCCTAACATTGTTAGAGTTAACCCAAGAGCAAGGAAAAGTAAACAGCTCAAACCAGTCTTTATTTACATGCTCAGGGTGGGACAACTAAGCATAAGCACGTGGTTGCAAAAGCATCGCCTCGCTTGGAATGAGGTGGTGAGAAAGCGAACTATCACGGGGTCCCAAGATCCCCTGATGTTAAATCACCCCCTCCTGCTGGGATGACTGGTTTTCCTCCACTGTCCCTCTGTGTGACACTCCACAGGCCTGGCCAGGGGTGAGGAACAGGATTCCTCCCCCAGAAGCACATGAGGAAGAAAGAGATAAAGGCTTTCTTAACTGTGGGCGCCATCTGTGAGCGACCGGCCAGACCACTGTCACATGTCAGATGATCCAGAGGTGAAACCACCGAGGGAAACATGCCTCAGGCAGCTATAGGGGAGGCTACCGGGCCTGCCCGGTGCCGTGGGGCCCGCTCCAGCAAGAGGTAAGCAAGGAGCAGGGGTGGGGGGTGAGGGAGGCTGAGCACACATCCATGGTGCTAGGGCCATAAACACCCACCTGAAGGAAAACCAGCCTCTACAGGGATTTCTGAGCTGAGCCCTCACCTGATAAAGGAGAGCAAACCAGAAAAGGCAGGATTAGAGAGAATCCTAAAACCCTTCAGCGCAGCCCTGTGTTTGCTCCCTGGTTTGCCTAATCTGCCTTGCAATCCCTCTGGGGGTCTCTGGGTTCTGCTCAGGATAAAACAACCCTCACAGCTAATTCCAGGACAAACATGCTCTGCTGGAGAGCGCTGCGTTATTTATTGCTCTTTATCGTTTTATCGCTGTTTATTTATCTCTGTGAGCATCGCTACTTGCAATAGCAAATGCCCCCGAGGATGAACGGTGGCTTCGTGCCTTTGTGCAAAGCTATAGTGGCTTTGGGGGCTTTACGGAGCCAGCAGCCAAACTCTGCCCGCGGGGGGACGCTGCCTCTGGGGACACATCACGCCGGAGCCGGCCTGCACTGTGGAGAGGCCGCCACTGCCAGGTTGGCTTCGAGCTCATCAACAGCACCGTGTGCCAAGGTACAAACCCTCTCCCTGCAGCCTTCTGGGTCTAGGACATACAGCCTCCCTATGGATCCCCCTTCTTTCTTGGCAGGGAGGATGCACTTATGGCACATCCATAAGATTATAGCCAAATGCAGAATCACCATGGAGAGAGATCTCTGTCTCCATGGCAAGAAAACCAGGGGCCAGCAGGGTTTTCTGCTGTAAGAGGCTGGGGAGAGGAAATCCATGTGGCTTTGGTGAAGGATGTCCTTCAGGGCTGGGTATGTGGCCCTGACTATGCTCCCTCTGCAGATGTGAACGAGTGCCTAAACAGTGAGACCTGCAGCCCCAATGGTGAGTGTCTCAACAGTCACGGATCCTACTTCTGCATTTGTGCTCCTGGCTTCTCAAACGCGGCTGGCGGACCCAGCTGCCAAGGTGAGCTGGAAGATGGCAGGCACATACCTCAGGTCCTGCCCTCTACTCCCTCCCCAGCTGTGAGATCCAGGTTGATGATTTTGGCCTGTTTTTGCAGATGTGGATGAATGTGCAGACAAGTCCCGATGCTCAGAAGGCCAGTGCCTGAACACAGAAGGTTCCTACAGGTGTCTGTGTGAAAATGGGTTCAAACACTCCCAGGAGACTGATGACTGCGTGGGTGAGAGCTCATTGTTGGGGAGATCAGTCCCCTGGGATTTGGGGGGATGGATGCAGCCAGTGCAGGGGGGGAGGGAAGTTCTGCTCCCAGCACCCAAAATTTCTCGTGACTTGTAAGGAGGACTAGAAATGGCTCACGGCCTCTGGCCAACTGAACTTGACCCAGGTGCTGCAGTGAGCAAGCAGGGTCCCCATCTGACCAACCTCATCCCCTTGCCCTCCTCCCTGCAGATGTGGATGAGTGTAAAGAATATGGAGATGCCATCTGTGGCACGTGGCGGTGCCAGAACAGCTTGGGCTCCTACCGGTGTATCATGGGCTGCCAGCCTGGCTTCCACTGGACCCCCTTGGGTGACTGCATTG